AATGATAGATAGCAACAATACTGCTTTTGAAGAACTAGAAAGAGCTGGATGCAGATGGCACAAGTCTGTAATCCACCCTACTTGGGAGGCTAAGGCAGGATAGAAGATTCTCTATTTAGTGGGATCCTTTCTCAAAAAAATTAAGGCACTGGGTTGTGGCTCAGTGGTAGATCCCTTGCCCAGCATATGTGAGGTCCTGGGTTTTTATCCCCAGCACTGAAAAAATAATAAAAAAAAAAAAAAAAAGAACTGGAAAGGAAAATGTCACTAAAAATCTGTTTTATTAAAGTATTCTAATGAGTTATTAGTTGTGGTCACCGTACAAAAAATCTTGTTTCCTTTTCACTTTTTAGGCTGGGTGAAGGTGTAAAGTTAAGACTGTATGATATGGTAGACTTGGAAATGAACAATAACAATAAGACTGATTTAAGTAAATAAGACTGATTTAAGTAAATCAGTTGTTCAGGTAAAAATATGGTTGACAGTGATCCATCACATGTATCAAGAGGTTGCAGAAAATATTATATGAGGGGCTGAGATTGTGGCTCAGCGGTATAGCATTCGCCTAGCACATTCCAGGCCCTGGGTTCGATCCTCAGCACCACATAAAAATAAATGAAATAAAGATATAAAATAAATAAATAAATTCCGTTAAAAAAAATATAGGGGTACAAGAGGCTGGTTCACTTTTGCCTTCTTTTCTACTAATGGTTCTGTATCTTCAGACAAATCAGATTGCATTAGACCCTAATTCTTTATTTTTGGGGGGTGGCAAGGGAATTGAACCCAGGGTCTTGTGTATGCTATACAAATGTTCTACCACCTAATTGTATCCCCATCCCATTCTTTCTTTTCAATGAATGTGTTGTCTTAGGTGATCTTTAAATATTTTTCAGCTCTAAAATCCTGTGATTTCACAATTTTTAGATTGAGAATATTGAGACCCTTTGAAAATTGTATGGTTTTTCTTGATACCATGAACTAATTTACTTTATTATAAACATGAACACTGGCGGAATACTTTAAAGTCAGGGTGTTCATTCAGCCACCTCATTACTCTTAGCTAGTACATTTTACCTTTATGCCATAATTATCTAAAACCTTGGCTAGAGTTGTGGTTCAGTCAATGATAGAGCGATTGCCTAGCTTGTGTGAGGCACTGGGTTTAATTCTCAGCACCACATAAAAATAAATAAATAAAAATAAAGGCTCATCCACAACTAAATATATATATATTAAAAATAAAAAAGAAATCTTATTGCTTAGTTTTCCTGTGGCATGTCTTCCTAGAGAACAAGAGTATGATACTGACCCAGCTGAAAGATATCAGGATCCAGTCTGTGGAGTTATTATGCCTTACCGATTACTTCTTAAAACCATGCAGATAAATTGATACTTATGTCTGTGTGGTGAATGAGCAGTTTTCACTTATCTTTTTCCTTCTTACTTAATTATATTGTGAAAACACATTCAAGAACTATTAATATAGCAGAATGTTTCTGAAACAAAATATTAATGATGGGTAAATTTAAATAAGTTTAATATTTACTGTGGACCTTAAAGTTTATTAGGTAGAACAGAAACCATTTCCCTCTTTCAATTTTAGTATCTATATTTGTCCCATACTAGAGTACACTTGAGGAAATATGATACATTTAATCTTGGGCATATTTTAGAAATGCAGTGACTTTGAGGGGCTTGTCTAATAGTTTACTGAATGCTTTTGTTGGAGATCAGAAGCTGAATTAGAGATGGAGTTTTTTTTTCCTCCCCTTAAATTTGATTATGCATTTATTAAATATATGTTCTAAACTATTACAGCATAAAGGATTTGGGTAGATTGAGGTAAGACTGTATATTACAGTAATGGAAAATTACTATATTTAGGTAGTGAGAATTCTACTTCTAACTCTGTTTTGCTTGCAGACTGAGATCTTGGGTCCCTCAGTCTATTTGATGAAAAACTGAATCACTGATTTGGATTTTCAGTTTTGTCTGTCACTGAAAAATTTTAATATACCTGTGTTATTGAAATATCTCTGACATGTACAAGTGATAACTCTGGATTATGTGACAAAATTTATTCCCAAGAACACTTTGATGCCATAGGGAATATAATTTATACAGAGAAGAGGAAGAGGAGCAGGAAAGATGAAAGAACAGAAACCTGATTAAGCCAATAAAATGTTTTCCTTTAATTATACATTTTCATTTTGTGAACTTCTGTATACAAATTAATAAAAGCTGAACTAAGTTATCTTTTTCTGCCCCAACAAATGACCTACTGATGGTGAGGAACCATTTTAGTTTTTTGGCTTATTATTGTTGATTATTAGCATGTGCTTTAAGATGTGGATATGTTTATTGCTTATTCTTATTTTTTGTGATTCTTCAAAGACAGTTATTAGGTTTTTTTTTTGTAGATGGACACAATATCTCATATATCTCTTATTTATTTTTATGTGGTGCTGAGGATCCAGTGCCTCACACGTGCTAGGCAAGCACTCTACCACTGAGCCACAACCCCAACCCACCAGTGACAGTTATTAAAACACAATGTGCCATCTCTTTCAAAGCCTTCTAACTTCTATGTCTCAACCCATGAGAATTGCTCCCTTCTAAAACATAGTACTTACCAGGTGTGGAAGTGCTGTGGAAATGTTGCTAAAAAATCATATGTAATTGCAATGGAAAAGAAAGTGAAACTTTACAGAGACCATTCACATTGGTGGTTAGTGTAGTGTCACTTTGTATTTATGAACAAACAGGTTTTGGAACAGCCTTTTGGAACCTAACTTAACTTAACCTAACCTAAACTAGAAAACCTTTTGGGTCAGGAATCATCCTTGGTTATATTTTCTTACTGTGTGTTTCTATATTGAGGATAATAGGTTCTTTATTATCAGAAGTACTTCATTTAAATTATTTTATTTATTTATTTTTGAACCCTGGGGATACTAAGCCACATCCCCAGCCTTTGTTTTATATTTTATTTTGAGACAGGGTCTTGCTAATTTGCTTAGGATATCACTAAATTGCTGAGGCTGGACTTGAACTTTTTTTTTTGTTTGTTTATTTTTTTGCATCACTGGGGTGTGAACCCAGGGCCTTGTGCATGTTAGGCAAGCGCTCTACCACTGAGTTACTTCCCCAGCTCTGGACTTGAACTTGAGATCCTGCTGCCTCAGCCTCTGGAGTTAATGGGATTACAGGCCTGTGCCTGTCAAGTACTGTGTTTTTGAAGGGCGCAGTGCTTACAGGTTGAGGCATAGAAGTTTGGCGAGGCTTTGTGAAAGAAATGGTACATGAGTTGAGCATTGAAGAATGGAAAAGATATGATGTAGTGCTGAGAGAGGGAGTGGTGTTCCAAGCATGGGTAATAATAGAAATTGATAAGAGAGACAGGAATGAATGTAGTTTGCGTGGAGGAACATGGAGAATAGTCCTATGAGGGCAGGATTGGGTTGTAGGATAATTTAAGGGAAAAGATAGTACAAGTAATGTGTGTGCAAGGCCAAATATATGTCCCAAGTTTATATTATCTATGATCAATTTAAAATGAAAAAAAATTCTCTAAATATGGTGCATTGCTCAAAAACTACTGAATGTATTAAAAATACTTTTTCAGTGTTGGAATTGAACTTTTAAAAGGAGTAGAGCAGAGGGTAGTTGGAAACTACTGGGTTGGAACTGAGTTTAGTGAGTAAAAATCTGAATTAATTTATTAACTCTAATTTTGACTTCAATTTATGGAAGTCACAGTAATCTATGGGGATGCCTAGAACCTAGAATATATAGGAAATTGGTTTTACTGACATTAGGAAATGGAGTACACTATTTTTCTAGCATATAGCTAGCTGTTTCAGGAAAACTGAATCACCATGTCAGCCTCATCCCCAAACTTGCCTGTTTAAAATTTTTAGGAAATTAGTGGCCATACTTTCCTTGAAGTCAACTTCTTTTTAAAATATTTGTATTAAAATGGTAAAGGCTATTTCAGAGAACTAGATATTATTTAATGTAATTTTAAAAAATATCTTTGTATTTTTATGTCACATTTATGGCCATAACTATTTGATTCAATATTTAACAAAATTGTAGTAAATACCTAAATCAGTTTTCACTTTTTTCTGTTAGTAGTGGTAACTTAAAAAAAAAAAAAAAATCTTTGCTAGGCATTTTTAAAGCATTTCTGTCTTCACTATGAAATTGTTTTTTTTTTGCTGTTAAGTTGCGTTTCTGTTTTTCTACTATTGTAAAGTGCAGTTCTTTGCATGTTCTAATTTGCCATGACGTGGTCAAGTGCTGTTTCCTTCCTGTTGCTTGCAGCCTTTTGCTAGAGATAAGAATACATTGTAGTGCATTAAAAAAGAAGCCACTGAAGAGGGGCTGTAAGCATGGTAACTCTTAAAGCATTCTAATTATCAGAAGCCTTTTAAAGAACAGAAAAAGTAGGCTTTAATTTCTGCTTATTTTAAAAAGCTCTTAAAATGTTATTTACTAAACTTTAAATGTACTTGATTCTTAATTCTTAACATATTATTAGACCTAACAGGGATGCTGTCTGAATGTTTCTATTAAAGGCAAAAATATACATAATATGCATTATGAAATAGAGCAGCAGTTCTGATATAGATGGTTTGCTGGATTAGTAGAAAGCAGGAAATTGCTTGTATATCCTTTATCGTGGCTATAAACCTCATTATTGCTGGAATTTTTAATTTTTGTTTTTTAATATTCAGTACTTTAACCTAAGTTTAACTGAGAGAAGGAGAAACTTCATTTTTAGTAATAAGGGGTGATCTTGGCAGAAATGAAGTCTTCAAAGAAATTTATGTCTAACTTAAATAAAAATAAGCCTAACGAAGACATAATTAGTCATGTTGATTTTTATTTGAAGATCAGCAGTAACAACAAAACGCTTTGGAAATACTGTGCTTTGGTTATATTTTAAATGGATGGCTGCTTTTTCACAACTAATTTAAGCTTTTGTTTTTCAGGCCAGGAAGCTTGAGAAAAGAAAAATTTCAGAAAAATTGCTTCTGTTTGCTTAGAATATCAATGAACCAAGAAAAATCGAAGCACCTTCCTTAAAGATAACCTGGGTATACATACGGTAATTCACAGACTTGGCTGAGGAGTTTTACCCAAATTTCTGACTGGATTCTACGGCCTGATAACTTGAATCTGTTTGGAATTTTTCTCATGTGGATCTAAGGGGAATGCTTTATTATGGCTGCTGTTGTCCAACAAAACGACCTAGTATTTGAATTTGCTAGTAACGTCATGGAGGATGAACAACAGGTATGGGACCTGAAAAAAACTGAATTTTAATAAATTTGTTAGTTTTTTCATTTGTATCAGAAAATTACTTACTTTAAAAGATGGAGCTTTATTAAAGTCACAAAATTAGAATATTTGGAGGTAATGATTTTAAATAATATTTATAACTGGATTCTTTTTTTCAAGCAGATGAAATAATGCCAGCAGTACATAATTGTACATCATTTCAGTGTAAAACATGTGACAATGAGGAAGTTACTTAACTTCTCTAGATTTGAATTTCATCATTTATAGGGGGATTGAACTGAAGAATTTCTAAACTGGCTTTCATTGAATTTATACATGACGTGCAAATAATGAGTTAGATTCATTTTACTAGGAAAAATATTTTGAGAACCAGTGGGTCTAAAATATGCCTAATATGACTGATTTATATGTTAAATGAACCTAATCCTGACTACTTAAACAGGCCAATTATAATGTCATGCTTTTGTTCTACAAACATGGCTACTACAGATCCTAAAATTGATTTTTAATTTTGGTCAGGACATGATAATTTCTTAGCTGTTTGTAGTGTTCACTGAAGTGGCAGAATAAAAAGTTTATAAATAAACCTAAAAGAGGTGATAATTTGGATTAGCTTATCTAAAGAGCAAGATGAGCTTCAACCAGGTAGAAAAATAGTTTGAGGGACAGAATTGCCTGGCTCCAATTAAAAATGTATTAATAGTGATTTGGATTTAATCTAGAGAAAAAAGGAAAATCATTTTAGGAGAAGAAAGTGTTTTGAATTTGTTTTAAGACAGGATGTTTGTATATATTAAGGTCTGAAGACAGTGTGTTTACTGTGCCGTCTCTTAGAAAAGATCCTGTGATAGATTCTAGGCTTGATGTGGTGAGGTTTGATCTCGGGATGTGGTAGCAGAGGACAGAGGCCTTAGCCACTCATTGGTGTGTTCTAGTGCAGTAGCTTTGACATTCTTTTAACCATGAGAAATGCATTTGACATTATAGTATCATATTTATACATGCATATATGTAGTTATAAAAAAGTTTTGCAAAAAATACTTATATACCTGTGTGTATAAAGCACTTTGTTTATCTTATAAACATATCTGTGGTCAGGGTGCTGTTAGCTTTATATCAGCATATACAAATATCTATTTTTTTTAATGTGATGCTGAGGTGTTGAACCCAGAGCCTCATGCATGCTAAGTATGTGATCTTGCTGAACTACATTTCCAGCCCTGTATTTTATTAAGTTATTAATTTTCAGTGAACAGAATGAATCTGTCCAATGTTAGTTTGGGGCAGGTATTATCCAAGGACTTTACAGATATTAACCATATGAGGTAAATACTAATGTTCTCATTTTACAGTAAGGAAATTGAAACATGAAGAGATTAAATGACTTTCTCAGAATCATATAGCTAGCAAATAATGGTGCTACAACTTGAACCTCTAGCAGTTTGACTTTCACTAATGATGTCATATTTTCTTGGAGTGATGCATGACAATCTTACTGTATTATAATCATTGCCCAAATATTTGAAACTATTGGCCAGATTCAGAGTTTTTCTCATGTACAATCATAAGCATAGCAAAAACTTAACTGCTTCACATGAGGTTAGAACCAGTGGTAATTGGCTTTATCTGACTTATGGTTCTACCTCCTTGTTTATTTGCTAGTTAGTTTTTTGTTTTTTATGTTTTTGGTACTGGAGATTGAACCCAGGGGCACTAAACCACTGAGCCACAACCTCAGCCCCTTTTCATTTTATTTTGAGACAGGGTCTACCTAAGGTTTCTTAGGGACTTACTAAGTTGCTGAGGCTGGCCTTGAACTTTCAGTCTTCCTGCCTCTGTCTCTCAAGTTGCTGGAATTACAGGTCTGTACCACAACACCTAGTTTGTTTTTAATATAAAAGTAATGACTTGTTATTTATAAAAGAAGTCACCTAATATAAAAATATATAAAACAGTGGAAATCTCTCTTCACCCTTTCTCCTTATTCTTTTTTTTTAAAGAGAGAGAGAGAGAATATTTTTAATATTTATTTTTCAGTTTTTGGTGGACACAACATCTTTATTTGGTGGTGAGGATCAAATCCAGCGCTCCACGCATGCCAGGCGAGCCCCGTGCATGCCAGGCGAGTGTGTTACCGCTTTAGCCACAACCCCAGCCCCTCCTTAATTCTTTTTTCCTCCCGAGAAGAAACTAGTATGAACTAGTTGTGGGTTTTATATACCTACAAAACTACACGCAGAATTTATTTTTAAGATATAGATGACATTATCCTAAATGTATTTTATGACTTGTTTTCACTTAATGTATAATAAAATATTATATGTGTGTGTTGATTGGTTCTGTATTATTTTTCTATACTATGAATGTTTATTTCACCAGTCTTTGATAATGGCTGTATTTCAATATTATATACATTATATACAATATTATATACAGTACTGCAGTGAAAATTCTTATTCAGGGAGGCAGTAAACTCTATCTAGTGGTAGTAGTGGTTAAGAGCTCAGTTACTGGAGTCAGAATTCCTGGGTTAAATATTGGCTCCACTCTTTACTACCTGTGTGATCTTGGGCAATTTCCTTAACCTTTCTGTGCTTTGGTTTTCTTATCTACAAAATAGGAATGAAAATTATAGAACCTAAATTGTATTGTAGTTTTGTTATGAGAATTAAATGAGTTGATACTTACAAAGAGCTCTTAGAACTTACACATAGCTGATATTTACTGAGCAGTATCATTCTCTCATGTGTCTATGTATATATTACAGACTTCAGGTTTGAACTTACTAATATATTCTGTTTCATTGAGCTATTTTTTATTGTACCAGTATCACTTAAAATAATGGACATTATATTTGATGTCTATAGGATTGAGATCTTGTATGAATTTTAGAATCAGCTTATAAAGTTACATAAAAACTCTGTTGGGATTTTAACTTTTCAAAATAAAATATTTGTCTTTTAAAAATAATTCATTCTGTTTTATGATTCAGTATTGGTTGATTGGTTGGTTGTTTATAAAATCACTGTTGGAAGGCACCAGATTAGAATTTCCTGTTTTCAATATTGGTCTGTGGTTGTATAATGACACTGTTAATGTCTATTTGCCAGCACATTGATCATTTTCTCTCACATAAGTTTGTACTGTTTTCAAAACTGTTTTGGAACTCTTTTAGGTAGAGATAGTGGTAGGGGGACAGGTGTTGGAAATAGAAACATTAAACACTGTTGATTCTGACATTTAAAATTCTATACTAAGCTTTTTTGTACTGGGGATTGAACCCAAGGTTGCTTAACCACTGAGCCATATCCCCAGCCAACCCTTTTTATGTTTTATTTAGAGACAGGGTCTGGATAAGTTGATTAGAGCTTGCTAAGTTGCTGAGGCTGGCTTTGAACTCACTATCCTCCTGGCAGCCTCCCAAGCTTCTGGGATTTCAGGTGTGGGCCACCCTGCCCAGCTGCTCTTGCTATTCTTAACTGAGGGATATTTCTAGCTGGAAATGAAATTCTTGCACTGATGTGGGAGAACATCAGTATTGAAATTCAGTGTACTTTTATGTGAAAGTGCTTTGGTTTGACTTCATTAAATAGGTATGTTTGCCTGGTGAATGTAGGAAAATAAGGAAACTGAAATAAGGAAGCTGTGGATACAAGTTTCTAATAGAAGTAAACATGACAGTACACAAATATTTCAGAAGCTAATTTAATGAAAAATACCTCATAGTTTAATATTTTTATATATTATTGACATATTATTATGTTTCTTCAGTTTTTGTTTTTTTCTTTTTTTAAATAACTGATAATCGGTTCATTAAAATAGCTGACTTAGGCACTGCAATGGAGACTTCAGCCTCCATTTCTGCCTTGATACTGATGGAAATAATCTGCTTAACAATCTTGGACTGTGTAAGTCAGTCAATCACTTATGGATTCTCATCTGGAAATGATCCCATGTTTTAGGACCTTCACCACAAGGTGTTTTTAAAAGTAGACAGGAAATAGGAAAGACAGAAATTAATCTGACTTGTCTTTCCTAACTTTCCTATGTACTTACATAAGTACACCTCAGTGAATCTCTGTCATGTACAAATGAACGTAGGTTGTAAGGTGGAAGAAGAAGAATTATGACGTGCAGAACAAGTATTTTTGATAGATTCTTATCACAATATAAGAAGGTAGTTTTAGGACTTTGTTTCTCAAGTTATAAATTGACTTGCCTTGACTGTTGTTTCCTAGAGGTTAAAGGGTAACTTTGAACCTCCTACTTTGTGCTTTTTTTAGCAAGATGCCCAGTGATTTTTTTCATGCATTATTTGGGAATCACTACTCAATATAACAATAGAAGTAAAATCAAAGTGCTGAGGTCACAGAGAATGGAGATATTTACTGACTGCATTGGGATTTGGGGAAAGCTTCACTATGAAAGTTGCATTTGAACTAGATCTTGAAGGGTAATCAGTTTATTCTGCAGATGAACAAGGTGAGGTGTTGCAGAGCAAGCAGGTTTCTCGTGATTGCATAGTCAATCCAAATACCTTTAGAAGCTTTTCACAGTGTGCCATGCCCTTATTTCTTACACTACATATTTTTGCCAGTCTACTGTATGATTTCCCCAAATGCTTGCTTCCTCACTGATCAGGAATGATCTCCCACATTTTATACTTGTGGCATGTTTAAATCCTAATTGTCTTTCAGTATTTTGAAACAAAACCCACTTTTTCCAGATACTCATCCTAAAACAAATCCTTTAGGAGTTAACAGCTTGATCCTATTATTCCTATAACACTTATTGTCAGTGTCATCCATTTGGCATGATAAAAAAATCTGTTTTATAAAAAAGATAAAACTTATCTGTTGATCAAATGATTTGGGATATATATGTGGTCAGTTATAGTTCTTATCATGTCAGAAGATCTTTGATGAGAAGTGATAACTTACTCTACAACTTTCTTGACTATAGTATATGTTGTCTTCTGTTTTGTTTTTGGTACT